ACAAAAAAGTAAAAAAGCAACAGACTAACTACATGCAACATTAAAGCTTTTGTGTGGCAAAAGAAGACATAAAGACAAAACAACAACAAACAGGCTGGAAAAAGTGGAGTATGTGTAACTATAAAGTTCATCTATCAAGCATTCCTTCCGATATCTAAGCAAATAACCCACAACTCAATACATAAATGGCCCAAGAATTTAACACAGGCAAATAAAAAATAATACAAAAGGGTAATAAATGAGAAAATGTGCAGCTCCATTTTTAAAAATGCAAATATTTACCCACCAGATGGCCAAAATTTTAAACACTGATAATTTTGGCACAATCTTTTTGAAGAAAGAATTGATTGTATGTACCAAAACATAAGTGATTTTATTTCTCGGTCAGGCAATTCCACATCTGGTTATCTGTCCTTCCTCCCTTACAAACCCCCGACACGTTTGTAATAATATATGCCTGTGTATGTGAGGATTTATTACAGAGATGGGTATAATAGTGAAAAATTAGAAACGACCTCAGCATCCATTAACAGAACAGGTAGGTACATTATGACACATTTATTCTATGGAATATTATGCAACAGAGTAAGGCAAAGCCACATAGAATGGCATTGAATATTTTAACTTATAGTGTTAGGAGAAAAATAGCAATATTTTATAGTATAATATAGTAGTTAGCAAATACCCTATTTTGTCATTTGAATTTTAAGAACTGGAGCAAACACACCAGCTTGTTGAGAGACACTGCCTCTGATGAGAGGTGGGGCGTGGGAAGGAAAGGTGCCAACAGGCATCATCACTTTTCATTTGTGTTACTCTGATTTTTAAAATGTATTTTCATGAATTGCTGTGTAGTTTGAAACTAAACAAGGCTTTCTCTTTCATTTACATTGTATTCTCTCTTGCCCTTTTCTAATAAAATTCGCAGGCAGGATATGAACAGACTGAATGCAGTCAGGTTTATTGACTTCCGTATCTCACATTTGGCTTCCAGTGTTTAACTCTTTACTATTTCCTTCCTGTGTTCTGTTGAAGTCACTAATTTTAGGTTTGACTTCATGGTTAAAGAGCATTTTGAATTTTTGAAACAATGATATCAGGAAAAAACTGTGTCTACAACACCCTGCTTAGCTTAGTATGTTGAACAAATTTTCCTTGCATAAAACTTGCTCTTACTCCCAAGAAAAATTGGTCCATTTAAGATTAAAGTCTTACTTCATTGCTAAAAGCTAATTATGAAAATTAGATAATAACTTGTGTTCCCAAACATAATCATGAAAAGAATGCATCTTCAGAAGGTTGATGGAAAATCTGAATATAAAGTATGTAGTTATCTTAAACTAAGTTGAAAAATGAAATTAGCAAAACGGCTAAGTGAGCCCTAGCCCTAACCCAAAACATTGAGATTTAAAAGTATTATCTTAGCAGTGGGAGTCATAATAACGGTCTATAAATCCTTTGTTAGAGTTCCTATTAATTTTGTCTTAACAAAAGTTGTACACAGTTCATTTCATGAATCAGAATCCAATTATTTTATATTGGTTTCATGCTTTTCCCCAAGAGAGATCCATAAATTGTTTTTAATCACTTCTTTTATTTTAAATCAATAGTGTCTGCTAAGTGAGTAACATCTCCATTAAAACATAACCTTCCATAATTGGTATAATTACTTCATAAAGAGATAAACCACAGCAGGATTGGGCAGCCTCTGGGTTTATAAAATCTAATTGTGTTCACAACAAAGTGTTTTATTCTTACTGATCTCAGAAAGAACATAGACTTGTACGAAGCCCAGACATTTATGATACAGTAATCAGAAAGAAGCAAGCAAACCATTGTGTATCCTGTTGCCTCTGTAACAGTCTGAAAGGAAGTTCCTTTTGCCAAGTCATTCAGGGTGCAGGGAGGATTGGGGGGAGTTCTGGTCTCCAGTGCCTGAGTTGGCAGCCTTGTGGCTAGGTGAAGAGTGAGGTTCAATCCTGCTGCACAAGCTAAATCAGGCTTTCCAGGATGCAGACAGCCCACGATGGCAGAGAGAGTCCCAGGCGTGACCTCCAGCTTCTGTTTCAATGGGAGATTTGCCTTCATCTACATTTGGGGATTCTGCAACCGATTGTGTTTGGGGAAAGGGGATCGATTTCTAAAATTTATTTTTTGGAAATCATCTATCATAGGTAGATGACAGTCACTCATGTGTCATCTTAAAAGAAGATGACTAAAACATGTAACAAGAAGAACCTGGTGAGGCACCAGGAGAGCAAAACAGCACATATGTTACTTACCTGAGAGCCACAGCCTTCTCTTATCTTCCATATTATTTCTATCTCTGGTTTAAAAAAAAAATCCTAATTTAAACAAAGATAGAACACATGCACACATCCATGCTCCAAGAAAAAGAAAACACCTCCAAACTGTATTTCACTGTGCCCGCACTACTGCTTCCACTTAAGAAAGGCGAGTAAAGGCTGAGAAAGGCATTGGAACAGAAGGAGACTGGTTGATCCTTACATTGACTTTGGTATTATCTGGAACAATTGCACTCCATTTGTTTCAGCACTCTGAAGTATTGACGTGCCTCTGTGTTTCTCCCCTTCCTCTTTCTCAACGCTATCTTGAAAGGCTTTTTTCTTTGTCTCTACTCCTTCTCCTCAACCACACCAAAGAGGAAGATGTGCCCATTTAGGAAAGAGCAATGTACAAATATTGTGAGACTCAGAGAAACAAAATCAGCACTAGGCCCAAGAGCAAAATGGAGAGACAAAAAGATATACCTTTGGTCCCCAAATCTTCAGAAAATTCTGGTTGAAGAAAGCAAAGATGGGAGGTGAAGTGGGCAAGCAGCGAAGAGCAACTTGTACAGAAAGAAAGAAGGCGTTAACCACCCGAGAATTACTCTGTGGAAGAGACTTGTCAGTAGCATGCTGATTTTCACATGCTGACTCCTACCTGAGATTCAAATGGCAACATCAATGTCACGTCCAGGGAGAGATCCTTCCTGAACACCCATTGTACAGTGGCTGCCTACTTGCTCTCCGCCATGTCGTCCCGTCTTACTTCCCTACACTGCACTTGTTACCTGGCATTTCCATCCTTATTTTTTTTCTTGTCTCTCTCTCTCACCTACCACTAGCCTCCTCCCCACTAAACAGCAATCTCCATGAAGGCAATGATCTGCTTTCCCTATGGCTTGCCTTTTGCCCCTGGAATATTATCTTCAAGGCTGTAAGGATTTGGCTGGCTTTGTTAACATCCGTAACCCCTTCAAAGTATCTTGTACATAGTAGGGCGTTCGATAGTTCAATGTATCCTTGTGAAACAAAAGAATCACAGGAAGGAAACTCTTGTCTCTTTGTCAAGGTTACATTGTGATAAAGCAGTTGAAATTTTCCCCAAGAATTGGGGTAATGACAAGTACACTGTCAGCTTCCAGTCCATTGAGACCAAAAAAGCCAATGGCAAAGATGGGATGGAAAATTTTTCCTCTGTGCTGAATAGTGACGTGGGTGTGGGGAGACACCCTAGAAATGAGAAAGCAGCTCCCTTCTCACTGCATAGGCAAAAGTTCTTAAGGAGGCACTCACCGTAGTGAAAGCATTTGCAGAAGTTCAAATAAAGTTATCTTCCTTTAAGCTGGACAAAAGCTTTTTAGATGTGTGATAGATTACAATTATGGTGAAATGCACTATGAAAATACTCCTCACATGTTACCAGATGTCTTCATCAGGTTGGCAAACATTAAAGATGAATATCAGTGTTATTTGTCTCAAGTCCTACCTGCCTCTTTGTCACTATGATTCTCTCTTTGGAGAAGAATAAAGCAAACATACAGAATAATTTACAAGTCAAAATATTTAACATTAGCATTTCACTAGTAACACAAAATATATTCCATTTAGAATATACAAAGTATAACAGATGCATGTATGTTTTCGGATAAACAATAGACTTTCAGAGCAGGGGATGAGCTTTTTTACAATGTGAACAATAATATTCTATTTGGAGGAGAATGGCTGTAGAGAATGACTTTAAAAGTAAAATAAGGCATGTGGTGACTACCTAGTGATGTCTGCAGGAGACCTGGGATATGGGGCAAGTGACTCTCTTCCTGGATTCAGCATATATCTGCTGTAACAATAATTTTCTGGTGTTCCTAACACATAATCGATAACACAAATGAATTACATTTTGTTGGCAAATAATATACCAACTATGTCACACTCTTAACTTGAATGGACAAAGTAACCTCACGGTTCCCATGCATCATTGTTTTACAAACCTGTTAAGTTCAAAACTCACTAAGGAAAGATCAAGCCTCTCGTATCTGAATAAAAAGTAGTGGGAAAAAAGTATGCAGCAAATATGCTAATTAATTGCCCCACTGTGTCTGTCTTTTACTTATTTTTTTGTTTGGGGTTATATTTTCATGTACTCAAGAGAATTTTAAGGGATAAAATGAAAATTAATCTTGCTTCTCCCTTTATAAGTAAATATTAATGTTTTGATTTTAAAGAACTGTTTTTAACATTTATTTCCCTACCACATATTTTGTATTATTGGTCCTTTATACAGAAAGCTGTTCTGCAACTTTCAGTGAAGGAAAATACAAAGAGAAAATAGTTGATCTTAAAAAAACATACTTTGAAATCCTTAATAATGTTGCTTTTTTTTTTTTTACAGGACTGGGACTTGAACTTAGGGCCTTCACCTTGAGCCACTCTACCAGCCTAATTTTTTTTGTGTGTGTGATATCGTTTTTCAAGCTAGGGTCTCACAAACCATTTGCCCGGACTGGCTTTGAACCAAGATCCTCCTAATTTCTGCCACCTGAGTAGCCAGGATTACAGGCGTGAGCCACGGGGCCCGGCAACAATGTTGCATTTTTGTGACCACGAAGCACTTTCTACCTTTGAATCTTTGAGGCCAAATTAAATTTCTGTTGAGAGAATGACCCAACTTTCTCCACAAGACATATTTCCCACATTGGTTTTGACCACACAGCTCTACTTTTCCAACAGTGAAATGCTATTGAAGTGGCTTTCCAGAATATTTTGAGGAAAATAAGAACTGACAGATGGTAAGTCATCGTTCATGGTCCCCAAAGAGGAGACAAACTCATCAGGCAGCATGGTCTGTTCTAGAGTAGATTCACTGGGTGAGTCGCTTTCCAAAAACCTGGTGGTTTCTCCCTCCATCGAGTTTTGTGTGTCAGGAAGATGGCATTCGCCTTGATTTAAAATGAGGCTTAATTCTTCAAGAATTAGTGTGTTGCTTAGCGAAGTCATAGTTGGGAAAGGAAAGGCAAAGTTAGGGCATTCCTTTAACCTGACGTTCTTTCCCATGTCTAAGGAGTCAGCTGGCAGTTCAGGGATTGAGAAATCTACTTCATCATGGTTACTGAAATGGTTTCCCTGAGGGGCAAAATTTGAAATCTGAGGTTTGTACCCTGTGTTGAGATCAGGAATATACACAACGTTAGTGTTGGTGAATGGTGACGTTTGCAGGAAGTCCAGGGCTCCTATCTTCTTTTCCTTCTTGTAATCTGTGGGTTTTCGTTCTGCAAGAAAGATTTCTCTTATCTCTGTAATCATGGGATCAACATAAAGGACTGGTTCCCTGGGATTATTATTCATAAATTCACTTTCTTCCTAGGGGGGAAAAAAGACATTGTTTCATTTTACAAAAGCTGCTTAAGTGTTTGGCCTTATCCAACCACTCACCCTTTGAGGAGTAATTTGTTTTCCTAATAAATAATTTTTATGCTCTTCCTACTCTTTATGGTTTTTTTTGTGTTTTTGTTTTTTGCTGCATCTGAAGCAGTGTCCTCATTTTGGATGTTTTACCTAAGAACTGAGGAACATCTGGAACATCCCAAACAACCAGTAACATTTTGGTGCCATTACAATATCTGCTAAAGGGGTCCTTATCACCAAATAAATCATCTCCTCTCTCTCTCTCTCTCTCTCTGCATTTATTTAATTATTCAACTGAATAACTGAATAAGGGTTTGAATTTTCTTTTCCCCAACTTTCCTTCCCTCCCTCCTTTCTCATATTGTTTATCTTCCCTTATGGTTTCCTCCTTTTGTCTTTTGTTGTCTTACTTTATTAAATTCTCCCAAGAAGAGACTGAAGGAAAAGAATAATAAAAAGAATGCATTTTTTTTCCAGTACTAGGGCTTGAACTCAGGGCCTACACCTTGAACTACTCCACCAGTCCTTTTTTCTGTGAAGAGTTTTTTCAAGGTAGAGTCTCATAAACTAGTTCCCCAGGCTGGCTTCGAACCTCGATCCTCCTGATCTCTGCCTCCTGAGTAGCTGGGATTATAGGCATGAGCCACTGGTGCCCAGCCAATTCATATCTTAAGCACATTTCTTGGTTTAAAAGTTATAAAGAGGAAGAAGGATCTTGCAGATATAACTTGCATAGCATTTTAGGACCCTTAAGATGTTAGGACATTAGGAATATGTTGGAATATTGTTTAATATTATGGAGTCTTACTACAAGAAAATACCTTGTGGCTTAAATAAAAGGGGAGCGATTTCTACTTTGCTTACACATTGAGAGTGAGGTTATGACACGGGTTTTGTGCTAAGGTTCTAGAAGTGTACAGCTGCTCACAATTCAGACATGCCTGTCACGGTCATGAGGGTGGGCAAAGGTTTTAGCCTGTTGACTTTTGTGAATAAAAAATGGATTTGAGAACTTCCAGCTGATGGCTTACTTCCTAGGGCAGATACTTCCCAGTCCACACAATTACAAAATTATAGCCACCTGTTATAGAGAGGCTGTTTGTAACCCCCTCCCCTCAGTCATAGGTTGAAGCCAATTGGGATGTTGTTTGGAGGTTTGGGCCTTTGCGAAGTAATGAGGTCATGAGAGTTGAGGCCTTATAAATAGGACTAGTGAAGAGACACAGGAGACATGGTCTCTCTCTGCCTTGTAAGTAGGCAGCCGTCCACTTGCAGGAGAGCCCTGACTCAGTTCTCCAGACTGAGAAATAAATGTTTGATGTTTAAGCTACCTAGTCTATGGTGTTCTATCACGACAGCCCACTGCTTAATCTCTTGAGCAGGAAACCAAACGTCATCTGAAGGAAACCCTAAGGTTCACCTCCAGTACCCAAAACCCAGAAACAAAAGGAATATGACAAAGACAAAGGTCTCAGATAAAGCCACAGGAAGTGGTATCCCAGTCTTTGGTCTTGCCTCCTCAGGGCACTTGCCAGAGTTGGGGATGAACAGCACTCTGGATATTGCTGTATCAAAGGCTTGGTGTGAGGAGTGGCTGGGATAAGGCTGGAATAGTGCATGAGATCAGCCCAATAGTTTTTAAAACATTAAAAAATGTATTTTAGTTTTAGCCTAAGAATCCTTTGTTGAAATGATGTGAGGCTGGGCAAAGAGTTGATTAATGGGCTCACCAGAGTTCTAATTAGAGCCCCCTGGGTTTGTTTTACAACCACATCTGCTCTCCCACTTACACCCCTCTGTATCTTTGCCCCTGTGTCCCTTCTGCCTAGAATGTTCTCTTTCTCCTGAGCAACTCCTTATCTTTGCGTGCTTCCTCTCAACTCCCGTCACATGTGTGCCTCACCTCTGTCAGTGCACCTACATTATTGCATTGTGACGGTTAGATGACTTAGATGACATGGCTATCCTATGGCCTGGATTTTGAGCTCCTTGATGGCTTAGCACAGTGCTGGAAACACATGCAGCTGACCCCTCCCCTCCTCCACAGCCAGCAGAGCTGCCTCAGATGAAGGATGGTGCACATCCTTCTCTTCTTTTCTAACATGGGAACCTGGCACATCCCTGGTGACGCCTCTTCCACAGTTCCCTTGCCTTAATTTTCTCATATTCCACTTGGTTTAAAGAATACAGTGGGGCCCTCCTTGGGCTCCACCTTGTCTCTCTCTCTCTTGTAAACCAGGAGCCTCTGAGTCTTGGACACTCATTCCAGTGCACTTTTCTTCCATCTGTCCTTTGCCCCTGAAGACATCCAAGAATTGCTTGCTCTTCAAGTGTCCCTTGTACCCAACCCACAATCTTCCCCTTTTCTCTTTTAGGTAGCATGGTTTATTTCTTTTCTTTTCTTACCCTTGCTCCATACTTTCATTTCTTTTAAATAGGATTTGAAACATGTATATTTATTCTTCTACATATTTGTATTATAATATATAATTATAATAAATAATTATGTTTTTACTCTAATTATTAAACTGCTGTACTTTTGGTACCAATGACACTCGGAGTTTTGTTTTTTGTTTGTTTGGTGGTAATGGGGTTTAAACTCAGGACTTCGCACATGTGAGGCCTATTTTCTACTCCAGCCCTTTTTGCTCTTATTGTTTGAAGCTAGGGTTTTGCTTTTGCCCAGGACCACAGTTTTTCTATTTAAACTTCCTGCTGTCACTGGGATGACTGACATGCTCCTGACCCCATTGGTATAGAATCTCTCAAAGTCTTTCACCTAGGCTGGCTTGGAACCTTGATCCTCCCAATGTCAACATTCAGCATACTTTGGGATGACAGGCATGAGCTACCAGTGCCTGGCCTTGTTGTCGTTTTTTGAGATTAGGGTCTCACTATGTAGCCTGGGCTGACCTTGAACTCGTGATCTGCCTGGCTCAACCCCCTGGGTGCTGGGATTACAGGCATAGCCATCAACCCTGGTACCACTCAGTTTTTGTTTGATAGTGTTTGGTTACCTGTAGCATTTTCACAACATTGCTATTTTCCATATTAGGAATATCTTCATGGAGCCACTTCGGTATTAGCAATAAGATTTTTCTTTTAATTCTAAAAAACAAAATGACACATTAGTAAAAGCATATATCTGTAGGCCTGGTGCAGGCAATCATGGATGAGGAAGTCAACTAGAATGGGATGCATTATAAAAATCACACTTCCTGCAACAAGGGCTAAGGTCTCCATCCCTTACTTAAAGTTAAGTGAAAAGCTGATTTAGTGTTTTCTCATAATTACCTCTTGTCTCTATTGCTCTGCTACTTTCTAGTGAACAGGAAAATGTCAAAACACCCTAAACAGAGTCAAGAAGAATGGAAGAGACTCACACATGTGCAATATGGCACAGGAGCAGATGATGTTAGTGAGAGAAAGTTTGAAAAATTTAAGGAATATTTTGTGGAACTTTCCAAGGCAACCATAACTACTGAACATTAAAGAAGAGACTCAAATAACAATTTGAGCTCCTTTAATTTTGAAGTTTGTAATTATTCCAAATAGGGTTGTGATGGTAGTGATACCTCCAAACTCGATTTGGATGGATATGGGCTGCTGTTGTATAACACAGTGAGAACTCGTTTCCACTTAGACTGTGTTCTTATGAAGGATCACTGGGGTGAGGCCGTAGAAAGAAAAGAGAGCTGTGTTCTTCCACCTTCTCTCCTCCCGGCCCCTCATGGTGCTGTCATTGTGTTTAAAAGCACTTTCCAAATTGACAGTGAAAATTGATTTGGGAGAAAAGGTTGTACCAAGACCCTAGAAGAAACTAAACAGATCTCAAGCACATTTTTATACGTTAAGGAGTCCTGAACAACAGATAAGACTTATCTATTTAAGAACTCAGAACTTTAAGTAACAGCCAAAAATGGTCGAATGAACTTCTCAAGCCCCATTTGACCTTGGACTTTAAGGTAAAAATGATTGCTTTACATATATGTATACAATATTTTACGATTCATCTTTTTACTAATTCATATTCTCTCTCGCTCTCTCTCTTTTTTTTTTTTTTGGCGGCACCCAGAGTTGAACTCAGGTGGAAAGGCACTCTATCACCTGAGCCCCTCCACCAGCCCTTTTTATGACGGGTTTTTTCAAAATATGGTCTCTGGAACTTTTGCTTGGGGCTGATTTTGAACTGAAATTCTCCTGATCTCCGCCTCCCGAGTAGCTAGGATTATAGATATGAGTCACCGGTGCCTGGATTCATATTATCTTTGTATATTTAAAATTAGACCAAATAGTAAGTTTATGCTGTGATGAAGTTTTCACACACCATCTGATATGGTGAGAACATATTTAGATATATTTATCTACACTAAGTTTTATTATATTTCAAATGTTTTGCCTCTGTAGTTAAGTTCTATTTCTTATATATAATTTTTATAGTGTATATTAAATAACAATATCTGCTTATATGTAAAACAGCCAGAATGGAATTGCTTTGTTTATCTTTTTTAAAAGAGTACTTATTTAAATAATTAAGTTAGTCAAGAATTGTTCTATTTCCTTATGTGTCAGTACCAACCAAAATTTAGATTTTAGGTTATTTTTAGTAACAAAGTTAGTGTTATTTAAAATTTCAAACTAACTAGGGTACCTTAGAGTAATAACACAGATACCAATATTTTTATGGGATACTTGTATTAACATTAAGAGAGTTCATGGAATTTAATAGTGAAGCACTTTTAAGACAACCTAAAATAAAATTGTGTATTAGTTCGCCTCCCTCACAAGGGTCTTAGAGGTATGATTATTAACATGTAATTTTAATTTTGAAATATTACTTAAGTAATATTCGAGGGAAATGTCTTTGTAGATAAGAAATTCCTAGTATAATTTACTTAGAAAAGATTGCTTAAAACCCTTTTGTATTTTGATTATAAATTTAAAATAAGGAAGGGTTATCTCATGAAGCAAGTGATGACAAGAAGAGACACTCGGTTCCAATTTGGCAAGGAATGTTCATATGTCAGAATCTGGATACAATCAGAGTCACTGGGAAATCAAAACATTAAACAAGTCTAGTAGGTTAACATATTGAAAATACCGATTTATGTGGTGAAATTTAGAAAATCAAAGGCCTTGCCTTCCTCAACGTCTCATTTTAAATAATTAGGCATAGGTCTTTACTAATCCTATAGTGGGAGAAAAATGTTGAAGGAATAAAGAACGGGCTTTGGGACAGGATTCCTAATCACCAGCACAACTGGCAGTGAAGTGACAAATTCAGACGTTACCATGCTTCATTTCAGATTGATTCAGTGGATTTGTTTGAGCAGAAGCTCAGGCAGGTTGTGGCCACTGTAAAGAATCCCAGCACCGTGGGAACCTTCAAGCCAATGAAAAGGCTGAAGGGAAGGACACTGTGGGGAGCACAGAGCACGGGCCCTGACATCAGCTCTTTCTGGACTCCTGGCTTGTGCTCTGGCAAGCTGAGCTGACTTAGCCTTGGGATGAGGACTTAGCCTCCCTAAGCCCTGTTTAGTCATCTGTAAAACAGGTCACAGAGCTTTTCTGGTAGACTCATTTTGAGGATTAGATGAATGACAGTTGTAAAGAGCTTGACTTGGGTAGATACTCATTATGCATTGGTCCTTTAATTTTCCTCTTTCAGAACAAAAATGTTAATGGATTTTTCTTTTTCCTGTGATTTTTAAATTAGTATACATTAAGAGTATGAGGGGATTTCATTGTGACATTTCCACAGATGCATATAGTGTACTCTGAAGAAGTTCACCCCTTCTGTTACATTCCCTTAACCTACCCTCTCCTTCATTCCTTTTCATGCCTTTTTCAAACAGCATTTGGTGGGTTTCATTATGCTATTTTCATATATATAAAGTAATGTACTTAATCTTCTTCACTCCCCCACCCTCTCCTTTCTCCCCTCCCCTTCCCGCTAGCCCCTCCCCCTTTACACTTTCATACTCACATCTGTTAGTAGGCGTATTCAGTAAACAATTTAATTGACTACATTTCGATAGGAGTATATATATATATATATATATATATATATATATATATACATTATTCCAAATCAGAAAAATTGAAACTCTACAAAAACCTACCCAGTTCGGAGCGATCTGTTAAATATCCCAATCAGAGAAAAAATTGACAGCATGGCCGCAAAGGCGATCATTCCTGATAAAAGTCCAATGTTTTGTCTGTTGCCTAAAAAAGGAAAGAACAATAATTTTAACTGAACATTAGTGTTCATGCGATGCCAGCCTCATTGGTCTCTTTACTCTGCTCAAAGTAAAGGTCACTGATCTCAAAGGATAGGCTGAAGGGGAAGGCAAAGTCAGCCTTCACCTCAGGCTGAAAAATGGCTGCTCTTCCAAACCTTACCCAAGAAAAATTTTGTCTGAGAAAATTGTACTGCGTGTCTCTTGAGGTCAGTGGGTTTGTAGAAGTGCATCTCCAGCAAGTGTGGTGAACTTGCACATGCAGATTTTGTACGAATACGTTTAGTAATGAATCCCATTTGACTTGTCTGACACAGGTGAGACTTCCCAAATGCTCGTGACAAGGTCTAACGTGGGCTACAATCACAATTAAGGTTTTATTTTTTTTTAAATACTTTTCTGTGAGACAAATTTATGTGACAGCTTCTCAACATTCTTCAGAATTTGTTGTTCATGAAATTTTTTCTGCTGAGAAAGGACACTCTATTTAGAACAATGTATGTCATAAGAAAGAAGTCAAAATTGACATCTGTCTTGCACTTATTTTCAAAACGATGTCTTTCTTACATTTTGAAGTTGAACTAATCTCTGGAAATCTTTAAATAATTAATATAATTTATTCAACATGCATTACCCACCAGGTTCATCACATTTTCTCCTTAGAACATGAAAAAGCCTATTTTCAAATACAGAAGATAGTTACAACATGAATTACCAAATTGGAATTTGTTCTCGAGCCATGCTGGGTATTAGCCTCCCTTCGTCTTTATTCCTGCTTCCTGCCCACCTCTCTCCCTTTCCACTGCATTGGCCCCATTTTAGCTAATTGACAGATGAGTCTACCATCCCTTTGGAGGTCTCCAGGCTGTCCAGCACCTCTTCTAAGTACAATTGGTGGGCAGGGGCCTATGTAGCTTTAGTTTACTCCAAATCTCAATGGGATGGGGAATTGGTGTTTTCCTAGGGCTAAAGAATATTTTAAGCAGCAGATGGGGTTACTGGCTGCTACAACTGGATAGCGAGCTCTCAAGTTAACATGGTGCTGGGAGAAGACTCCTAAGGAGTAGTGTGACCAAGGGCCAAATTAACTCTGCCACTTCTCAGCTCTGTGACCCTGGCACATTATTACGAACTTGTTGGGGCTCAAGTTTCCTTTTTTGTGTTGCAGAGTTAATAAAGCTGTCTTAAGTTTCTGGCTTCTACAAGTCCCACAGAAATACAAGATGCATGTCTACATAGGCAGCTGTAATTAGGACGCTGTATTGAACCTAAGCTCTTGGCTCATAGTTGACGTATGTCTACAAACACAGAATACCTATACCTTGCTTGATATTTCTTTGTAACACCTAACCACCTGACTGACTTTTAGTTGGTAGTTTTTCTCCCTTGTCTATCTAGAATAGAAGTTCCATGAAGATTTGGGGCTTTGGGTTTTTGCTTTTTTGTACTGAGGTTTGAATTCAGGGCTTTGTGCATGCTAGGCAGGTATTCCACTACTTGAGTCACGCCTCCAGTCCTTCCTTTTTGTTCTAGTTATTTTGGAGATAGGGTCTTGCTTTTTACCCAAGCTGGCCTGGATGCACTACTCTTATTTTAAGCTTCCCACAGTTGCTGGAAGATAGGTGAGGCCACCATACCCAGCTATTGGTTGAGGAGGGGGGTCTTGCTAACTTTTTGCTCAGGCTGGCCTCTTTAAACCACAATTCTTCCAATCTCAGCCTCCCAAGTAGCTAGGATTACAGGTGTTAGCCACCAGTGCCCAGCTGTTTTGCTCATTTTGTTCAATGCTAATCCTTATTACCCATATATCAGTGCCTGGTACATAGTTACTTAATGAATATTTGTTAAGTGAATAATAAATGTACAAAGAATATCATGCAACCTACAAAAATTCTTATACTAGTCCTGCCAGATTTTTTTTGTGTATGTGCTGGGACCTGAACTCTGGGTCTCACAAATGTTTGAGACATGCCCCCAGTCCTTCGCTTTTAGTGGATTTTTTTCATAAAGGATCTTGTGCTTTTGCCTGGGGCTATCCTCAGACAACAATCCTCCTATCCTTGCCTCCCAAATAGTTGGGATTACAGGCATGCACTATCATGCCTGATAGCCTAGGTTTTTATGCAAGGGGACAAGTGGCCTACCAGTAGTGAAATGGTCTTTCCTAAAGTTTTTCAATGTGAAATTTCTACCTAGAATTTTATTTGCCCAACCTATGTAATATTTTTGCATGCCTAAAATATTTAGGCATGATCATCAGTAGAAAAAAACCCAGTCAAATATAACAAATATGGTTTGTTATAAGATGAAGAGCATGGATGCCAGGACTTTAAAGGATTTGAATTTCAGTTTGTCACTTCGCAGCTGAGTGACCTTGGACACATTCCTTGACCTCTCTGAGTTTCAGTTTTCTAGTCTGTAAAGTAGATGCAGAGTTACGGATGCAGCTCAAATGGTAGAGCTCTTGTCCAGCAAGTGTGAGACCCTGGGTTCAATCCCCAGTACCACATGCACAAGGTAGATGTATAACCCTTATCTCAGCAGGTTGTTTTGAAGATGGACAGAGAAAGTGTCCATCAAACTCCTAAGACATGGTGTATATTTTTAGAAAGAAGTTTTTGGAACATACCTCCTGAGTTGAAAATGTATCCAACTCACTGCAAAAGCTGACAAGATCTGCTTAAACCAGTCCTTAAGTTCAATTTTAAGCAGATTTTTGTGGGGGGGGGCAGTGCTAGGGCTTGAACTCAGGGCCTCACGATTGTTTAGCAGGGACTTTACCGTTTGAGTCACTCCACCAGACATGTTTTGTGTTGAGTATTTTTTGAGATAGGGTCTCTTCAACTATTTCCCTGGGCTGGGTTTGAACTGCAGTCCTCCTGATCTCTGCCTTCCAAGTAGCTAGATTACAGGTGTGAGTCACTATTGCCTGGCCAGATGTTTGCACTTTGTTGAGTATTTTTCTATGGACAGCACATGACACAACTTACTACCCAAACGCTTTTGCCTGGTGTGATTTCTCAGTGTGGGGTTGCTAAAGACTACTCAGGTGGTCCCAGTGGTATTTATTTATTTATTTATTTGCAGTACTGGAGTTTGAACTCAGGCTTCATGATTGCTAGACAGGTGCTCTACCACTTGAGCCACGCCCTCCAGCCTTATTTACTTTAGTTATTTTTCAGGTAGAGTCTCACAAGTTGCCCAGGCTGGCCTGGACTGAGATACTCCTACTTATACCTTCCTAGGACCTGGGATGACAGTTGTGTGCCACCACACCTGGCTTATTTTGTTGGATTGGGTGTCACTAACTGCCCCCCACTCCAGCTGGCCTCCAACCAAGATCCTCCCAATCTCCTCTTCCAAGTCACTGAAACAGGCACTCATCCCTTCCAGTGATACCTTCTTACCAAAAGTATGGTGTCCTTTATAGATGGAAGCAGTTAGCATCCCAGAATTCCACACGTCTCGTTGGAATAATTTTGGGGTAACCTGGGGAACTTAAACCAAGAGAAAAGAATGTGAACTACTAATACTTTGCATTCAGGTGGCCCAGTTTCCTCAGAGACCTTCTCCTTTTGTTTGGAACTTTAATAGACTTTGTAAGGTGTAGTAGGAGCAGTGGTAGTCACGTGTGTGCCTTTTCTTCTTCATATTTTGCTAGGTACACCTCAGAGGAGGAGATACCACAGGACAAATGCAAACTACCTCCAGTTTGTAAAACTTCAAGTGTGTGCCTGTGATTCATGGGGCTGCTAGGCCCTGAATATCAGGGAGATTTATTTCCCTGACCAAATGCATGGCAATTGGTCTCATCCTGATCCCTTCCATAGGTGGTACATTGGTTTTGGTTTCCTTAAGGGCCTCTGACATGCATCTTCTTTGTCTTTTTTTTTTTGGCTTTACTGGGGTTTAAATTGAGGGCCTCATGCTTGCTAGGCAAGGTACTTTTACTGCTTGAGCCACTCCACCAGTCTTCCTTTGTCTTTGCACAATCTTTGCTGTGCTTGTCACCCTTCTGGCTCCCCTGATAACCTCCATTTTCATTAGCAGACACTTTGGGTGCGACACAGAATGTCCTTTCTTGCTGGAAGGGATCCTGGCCATCCCTGACTCGTCATCAAAGATACCAGGGTGCTAATGAACGTTTTTGGCCAGGGTGGACTAAGCAGTCCTGGCAGCTAACTAACTTTCAGTCTGAACTCAAGAGTCCCAGAGCATCCTCACCCATCTCCTTTCTGATAATTAAAAGCCACCAGAGGTTACTTCAAGGACACCATTCTCAAAATTGGCAGAAGGCATTTCTGAAGATGGTTCTAAGGGCTGTTTCCCTAAGAGCCCCTCAAGCCCTATTTATTTAGTCATTCTTATGGCCATATTCAAAATCATCTTTTCAAAAAATATTTCTTCTGGGGTCATGGTATCCCTCCCTGTCACCAAGACATCATAGGCTTATGTAATAAGCTGTGTGACCTGTGAGAATCTCTTTAAGAAATGGATCACACACTTACTGTGAAAAGGTTTCTAGGTGTCTTCAGAAATTTTTGAAAAAGGCTAGATTGGGAGCAAGCACAAACTGGATTGACAGGAAGTTTTCTAAGAACAACAGTTCAAGGATTTTAGAAGATGAAAACATCGGAAAGGCCAAAAGTTCTGTCCCATGTTTTTACTCTGGCTGCTTGTGACTTGTGACAATGAGAACTTCTTTTTGACTTCACAGTGCTTCGCCGAGTTCCTTTTGCTCCCTGGCATTGCAGTTCCATCAAGTTCTGAAGGATTAAGGTAAGCCCTAATGACCAACTGCCAGGTTTACTCAACTAAACTAGTATTTCACAGGCAATTCATTCTCACGGAGCTCAAGCAGGCATCTGTAACTACATTATTTTGAAATGTTAAGACTAAAAATACTACATTAAAATGAAACACATTTTCAATTTGTGTGTGCCATCTATGGCTGTGTTATCTTTATTTTCCTTTTTTAAAAATTAGCATTTTAATTTAAACATAATAAATGATAGTTAGCTTTTACTACAAGTTAATGTGATTCTGTTGTATAAACTAGAGGTCATTATTTGGCAATGAAACTTCATTTGGTTATTCATTTGCATCATATAAAATAATGTTTGTGTCTGACTCGGGCTCTATTAGCTCTAATATAGAGTGAATGCAAGCTTCCTTTAAAGTATATTTGCTATTGCAGTTAGAAGTCAACCAGGTGTATTCATTTAAATTAGATTAAAGTTGTTTAAAGGAGGTGCTTAATTATGAGAGGGTAATTTCACAAGGAATCAGATATCTGAAGTAAGACAACTTAGTAAGATGAAATCAAACCATGACAAAACTTTTATGCAGGATTGAAACGGAGCCGTGTAGACTGAATTCTTCATGGCCTACTGCCACCAAGTGGCTAGGTCTTTGTTTTTTTTTTTTTGGTCATGCGTAACATTTTTCATTATAAAAGCAAAAATCATAATAGAGAAAAATATTTTAACAGGAACAATCAAGAGAAAAAGAACCTAATTCTTCCTCCTTATTCCCCAGCCATTACTATTTGATAGGATTTTCAGGTATTTTAACATACAAATGCATTCACAAACAGAATGATGTACCCAGATTCCTTCACAAAGGAACAGCATTGATTATGTCGGCACTTATAACCTGGTTCTTGTTGAATGTGCTACAAAACCTCACCATGTTTTCATTATTTATTTGCTGTTTGTGACATTGTGCCAATCACGGACAATTCTTCAGCAGTCCTGTAGGACATACTTGAGTACACTCAGAGAACCCATATCGTCTCTGACTTGGGAAGACTTTTTATATGGTTTTGTAGACACCAACATTGAAATTTAGAGCTAGCCTTATAGAAATAATGTTTAAAAGGAATTTACAGTGGTTTCAAACAAGAAATACAGTTTCTTATTCTTGGACAAAATTTAAAGCATAACATTAACTACATCCTTTGGTCTACCAAATACCAAGCCAAATTAATAAAAATCTGCTCAAAAGGACCTAGTTTCAGCAATAATATATTCTATTTGTTTATTAGAAATGATGTCAAGTAATCTCCTTAGCTCTTCTCTCTATCTATGCCATAGTATTTTCTTTTTTTGTTTTGGTGGTACCAGGGTTTAACTTCAAGACCTCACACTAGCTAAGCAGGTGCTCTACCACTTGAGCCACTCCACCAGTCCTTTTTTGTGTTGAATATTTTTGAGATAGGGTCTCTTGAGCTATTTGTCTGGACTGGCTTCAAACCATGATCCTCCTGATCTCTGCCTCCTGAGTAGCTAGAATTGCAGGCTTGAGCCACTGACACCCAGCATGTTTTCTTATCCTTTTGAAGCAACTGTTGAATACTAGACTTCGCATGCTTTTTCTCATTTAATCCTTACAGCAACCCAATCATGTAGAAAATACTGTCACATTATCAAGAATAAGGAAATAAAGACAGAAACTATAAATAACTTGCCCAATGTCACTTAGCTAGAGGTTGGTGAGTAGAAATCCCCATTCATTGTGACACACAGTTAGTGCTGGTCTTTAGTTCCATTAATTAATAATGTCACCTTCTCAGGACAGCTCAGAGTTGGGCAGTATGGCTGGCTCTGCCATCAAACTGGCCCAGGACAAGACTTAGCCTTGCTCCTCTGTTCATGGTATGTTAACACTGCCTGACTCACAGGGCTCTGAGCCCCATCCCACTGGGCTATGATTGAGCTATGCTTTGAACACTGATTGTTTGCATTTTAAGTATAGAGTTATTTTCTTCCTAAAATTATTTTCCTTGATTGTACAAGCAGTACATGCTAATTATGGGATACTTGAAAGGCATAGAAGAGCATGGAGAAATGTACAATTTCATATTTGTTCCCAAACAAGAACCAATCATTTTTAACAGTCTTTTGTGTCTGTCTGTGTCCTGGTGGAGAACATCCTCTTTAATGCGTTGTGCTCTTTTTCATTCAGTGTTATGCAATGAGCATTACCTTATTTTATTAAAAATTATTCAAGACATTACATCTATGGCTATTTAATATTTCATCATGTTTGTACTGCATTCATTCAATTATATCCTTATTGGGAAACTGTGTAGCTTAGTGGTTTCAAACACCAACTGTGGCCTCAAGTGAAACTCAGTCACATCCTGGCTCTGTCACCTGAAGTTGCATATTCCTGGACAAGTTACTTCACCTCTCCCTGTCTCAGTTTCTTCATTTGTAAAATTGGATATTAACAGTGCTTCACTTTTAAGTTTTGGCGAGCTGGTTTACCTCAAGCACTTAGCACAGGTTTTACATAAATTAAAACCTTAGTAAGCGTTATTTTTGCCATTGTTGGACATTTAGATTGGTTCTAAATTCTTACTATTATAATCAGCCTTTGGATGAAAGCCATTACATATAACTTTCTCTTCCATATCTCTTGGTCTCACATCTCTGATTTTTTCTAAGGCTAGATTTCTACAAGTACACTTACTGGGCCAAAGGGAATAGGCATCTATAAGGTAGTTTTATTTACGCCTTAAAGCCATGCCAAACAAGGCCTACCTCATAAAGGCTTTTGTCAGAGCTGATACATGGACCTTTCTGGATGTTTCTTTTAGAAGGTTCTAGATATTCAAAAAAGGTAAATCATATTAAAAAAGAGACAAAAGGTTTATTTTTCAAAATATTGGAGTTTCCCCCTCATCCTATTTTTCTTAAAACATAGACATCTCCTTTTGGTTTCTCTCTTCCTAATCTCCTTCTTTTAATAATTCAGTTGTATCAGAGCAATTAAATGCTATCTCCCCAGGTCAGACCAGTTTAGTTCCATGGTTGGAAATTTAACATCACCAGCGAAAGGCAAAGATGTGACCATAGCCCCTGTTAACTGGCCAAGTGAAGACAATAACTACACTATCAGGTAGGCATCAGAAGCCCAAGGTAAAGAAAATGGTATGTCAGCAACCAACTCATTACCTCGCCTTGAAAAACAAGTCAGACAATGAATCACTTAGTGGATTACTGAATTATGTCATCCATGTCTATTAAAGACAGCAAAATGTGTTCAGACATATTCAAGGGACTGTTTCATTGATAGTTCCTAGGCTATCAATGTTGGTACATCTAGAGACAAGAAGGTATGAAATGTACAGATAACAGTTATAGTGTCAAGGCAAAGAATAAGAGGAGGAAAAGAACAGCCATCCAGGAAAATTGCCTAAATTATAAGGACCATACAGAGATGAGGGTCTGATGTCAAAGTGTAGTAAAACTTTATATGCAAGAATGACAGTGTCCACCTGTGCCAGTGGTCAAAGAGTCTTCAAAAGCACACCCTTGCTCTCAGGGATAGCATGGTCCTGCTCCTGAGTCCAATACTCTAGTAAACATTTGCCAAGTTTTACCTGTCCAACACCAGGACGTACTTCCTTATGAGCAATCTAAAATAGGTAAGTGGCAAGAAGCACTTCCCATTATAGAAGTCTCAATTGGGCAGATATTCCCCTGCACAG